GCTGGGATCGTATCCGTCGTCCTCAAACTCGGCATACTCGTCAGCATAGCATGACATTTCCTCAGCATCACCTGCATCACTTCCAACAGCCACTTCATGTTGATCATCTCTTACCTTAGCTTTCTTACGTTTCTTCATTGATCTCTTGGGTGATTTAACATTGGATCGTCCAACGGAGTCGGAAAGATCTTCAAGTTCATCCCCACTTTCTCCATCTATGACCAAAAGACCTTCACCTTCCGATGTTGAGCATCCATCATCAAGAATTGCCATGATCTTCTCCACACAAGATGATTTCAACTTGATCTTTTCTTGATCGACGCTCACATAGGGAATATAGTCTTTAACAGTCATCTCGATGAAGTTGCCATTTGGGTCCAACATGAATGGAGTTCTTCCGGTCGGCCATACAAAAGAGTAACCAAGATCAACGCATCGCTTTCCCATGGAGAGCACGGAGGGTGTGTCCTCCAAGATGTGAGCTTCTGCTGGTTCGCTAAATGCCTCGAACTTGATGCTTGAACGTTTGGTCGAACACGTTACCCCATTTGCTGTATGGAAGTTGACGACCTTGTCATCGTATGTTGGGAGATCCATTCTACTTATCCGTGTGGATGAAATGAGATCATGGCCACTTCCAGAATCCAATATGAATCTCTTATCTCTCTCTTCAACAGGAACAGTGATACACATTGTGTTGCCCCTTTTACCATATCGACCTTCAATATGCTGAACATAGTTTTCCACAAATACTTCCCTGGACACCTCACCGTCCTCGACGTCGAGTCTGATCAGGATGTCCATGCTAGGGCCGACTATGATCAGGACTTCATCAATGTCACTGTGTTCACCCTTCTCATCGATCAGAATAGCCATTGCTTTCCCTCGGCTCGAAGCTAACCTGCATGAATAAGACCATTGTTCATCTTTCCTTATCTGTTCAGTGGGCTTGCCAACTTTACCATGACCTTTGGGGATGGTTTGGGATTTCCGGCTGCACTTCACGAAGTCCTTCTTCACGTAAGTTTGAACTTGATTTTTAGACTCATCAAATCTGATCTTCTTCTTGATCACGTTCGATGCAACCTTATGGAACGTCCCTTCATCATCACTCCAATCATGGATAAGTGCAGGAGTAGCCTTTGAGCTTGGTGCTTCAGTGTTTGGAGCAGTGTTGAATAGATGAGGATTGTGGCGTTTGTTGCATTTGTCTCCATACCGACACTTGCCCTTAGCCCAATGCCAGCATGGTTCATCAATCTTCTTGGTCTTGTTTGCCGGAGACTGACTTCTTGGAGTTCCTGGCTTCCGACCGTTGCCTTTTGCATTCTTGTTCGCATCAAATACCTTTTGGTCGTGACTGTATTCACAATCCTTGCCTTTTCTGCATGCTTTCTTGATGAAATGGAAATGGCATGGGACTTTCTTCTTGGATCTGGGGCTGGTACTTCGGCCGTTTGATCGATCCTTCCCTTTCCCTTGACCTTTCCCTTTTCCTTTTGCATGCTGTTTAGGCTGAGGTGATGGTAGAACTGGAGCTGCATCGGCCTTGGCCTTCGCCTTGGGCGCTGCCTTCTCCTTGGGAGTAGCTTTAGGCTTCGCTTTTGGATTTGCATCCGGTGCAGCAGCAGTTGGGTTCGGAGCAGGAGCTGAAGGTTTGCCGCCGCCTGCAAAGTCTCTCGCATACTTCTCTCTGGCTGCCACATGCTTGTCCTCTCTGATTCTGGAGATGTGCCTTTCGATGACATCCAACAGGTAGCGATAATTTCGTCTTTGGTCTCCTTCCATCCATGACTCGTACTGCTTGATGTCAAACATCATAAGACTCGAATTTCGAATCTTCTTGTATAGAGCGTCACGAAGCCAATCATCAGGAGGTACGTCATCCGGCATCATGTTTGATACCATCTCCATCCATTTCTCGTAGAACACTTCTAGGTTCGAGTCACCGAGATACTTCATCGATACGATGTGCTCCATGGTGAAGGATGTTTCTCGTTGACCTGGGGTTCTGAAGTGCTCCAGAATCAAAGCCAAGATTTCCCGTCCCATGACATAGGTTCCTCTCCGGCTATGACTTTGTGTTCTCAATCTCAATTTGATCGCTACATGACGAGCAACATCACCGGCTTGGGCTATCACGTTTGACAATGCAATTGACAACTTGGCGTCGATGGACTGATACCGTTGCTCCCCACTGTCATTCAACAGCTCGATGTCAGGATTTGGTCGAATAGCCGGCTGTAGCCATGCCTCCCATGCGGCTTTATCCCCGTCATTTGCCGAAAGAACAACACTCTTGATGAGATCTGATTGCCAGACCCCAAGATTCTGTTGCTTTGGCCATGGGCTAACATAGACTTTGTCAGCCTCTCGTCTTGACATTCTTGGTACTTCTTCCGCAGTGTAAGCCGCTGTGGAGACATCATCTGCTGAATCGCGTTGTGATCCTCGAACCGATGGCAAACCAGGAGGTTCAGGGGGTGGTCCTGGACCGTTAGGCCCAAAAGGGTCCGGAGGTCCATCAGGGTCAGGCGGACCGCCCCATCCACTCGGTGGCCTGTAGTATTCCCTCTCAGTTCCGCCAGCGATCTTGTTGTCAACCTCTTTCAGTAGATCAGCGATTCTTTTGCTTGATTGAGAATGCTGTGGTTGTTGAGGAGGTACAGCATGCCCACGATAGGAATGAGCCACATTTGTCTCATAAGTCAACTCCTTGTCGATCTGCGAAACCCAAGATTTCAGAATAGCGTTTTCACAGTTAGCCTCACTCACGTCATTCTCCAGTTTGTCGATGACCAGTCTGGATGCGAGATCGGAGTTGGGAATGCCTGCCGAATAGGGAAGTGTGTCAGGACTGATCCTAGCCATAGATGTTTCAGAATCCTTGAGACTCTTTCTCAGTTCATCTAAGTGACGTTTCATGTCAACAATCTCAGAATTCTTGATGCCAATCTTTTCATCCCTATCCTGGATTTCCCCCATGAACATGCATGATCTCTCATATTGTTGAACACCACTCGCCAATTTTAATTTTCGCTCACTCTCTAGTTCAGATCTTAGAGTTCGGACCTCAGCATTGGTGAGGGACGACGCCCCTACATCCGCAACTTCAGCCAACCTTTCTTTTAACAACAAGTTCTCTTGTAAGCATTCATGAACTTCATGATCTAGATCCTGAACCCTGATTTGAGCGATCTTAGCTTGATTACGTAGATCTTCAACGAGCATCTCTTCGGGGCCACGACCGTCGGTCGTAGAACCCTGAGTCAACGATCTTCGTAACTTCGTGTTCTGCAACTTGATCTCATCCTTCAATTCGCAGTTCATCTTCTGCTCGTTGGCATAGAGCTCTTCATAGTGCTCTGCCCTTGCGATCGAGTTTGCACTAGCCTGTGATTCAAGCCTCAGGTGAGATATTGCTTCGGCCTCTTGGTTCCTGTATGATGCAATTCTTTTGACGGTATCATGTTCAGTGTTTCGATGCTTCAGATCACTTTCCAATTTGGCCTGATTTGCCTCGAACACCTTCTTCCTAGACTCTCTAGTGATCTCATCAATACTGCTCTCATACAGCTCGGCCTGTTTACGAGACTGAACCAAGGCTTCACTCAATAGCTGATTTCGCTCAGATAATTCATGAACTGCAATTGATTGTTGCTGGCTAATCACTTCAAGTTGATTACTAGAGGAGGATGCCATTTCAGATCGATTACGATATTCCATGATTGAGTTCTGGAAATCATTTTGCATTTCTTGACCTTCATTGTATAGTCGATTGGCAATATCGGTGGTTAAGACATTGGTTTGATGAAGTTGTTGTAGTCTTGCCTCCGTATTACCCAGTAGTCCTTGAAGGTGATGTACTTCATCCTTGTACTCCTCCTGGATCTCCATACCACGTTGATGGATCCGTCGTGCACCATGTTCCATTAGGGCACCTCGGCGTTCAAGGTCTTGGATGCGTATTGTTGCACCTTCATCTTCCTGAGATGCTACCATTAGTTCTGCTTGATATTCTGCAACCTCATTTGCGGAACATGACAATCTATGATTGAGTGCATTGACCTCATCAAATACATTCTGATTGTGTTCCCGAAGATACTCAGTGAACCTGATCTCGATGTCATGAATCAGTTGATCCCTGGATGCAGCGTATGCTTCCATGTTGTTCAGCTGATTACGTAGGGATTGACATTGTGCCCGTAGTTCTTCTATCATGGCAATAGGTTCACTAGCCACAGAAGTATCCGTTGATCTCCTCTTAACACGACTATCCCCGGTCCTCTCACCAATTCGGTCGGTCACGGCCCTGGTGGATCTGTCCCTTGGAGTAGTACGTCCTCGAGATGGTCGATGCCCTTGGCGGACAACATCACTCCGAGCACTGTTTCGAGAAGATCTAGGTGTACTTTGGGTGGATATTCTTCGTCTGTTTGATGTGACTTGCCATCCGGACTGTGTAGTTCGGGTAGAGCGTATCCCGCCACTGTCTGCCGTGTCGCCAGGGGAAGATTGATTGACCTCCTCGACCGGCATAGCAGCGTTCTCATTGAAGGTAAACTGCGTGGTGCGCGAATCTCCGCTGCCGCCTTGCATCTTTGCGATGGTGAGCTGATTGGTCCTTTGCGTCCTCAATCAATTGCTCAGAAGGCCCGGCTACCAGCACGCAGGTACCACTCTCCCGGCGGGAGAAGTGAGAGCCCTACGGCTGATAACCTGTGAACAAATGAATCCTTGTTCTGGATGTAGTTATCAATTGCGATACCTGTTATGCCAGTATTGCCGGACACTGGTGGTGCATGGCAAGCGCAGCTCGGACCCTTTTCCTCGCACACGGACTTGAGCCAGTACGGCGTCCAGATGTACAGTTAAGCATGTACATCACAAGTGTCCTAGTGTTCAGTTCCCTTTGACATAATATATATATATAATAGAATCAATTAGATACACTGAAAGTGCGGCCAGTCACATGCGACAAAAGGGCACTTTAATATGATTCAGTGGATTCTAGGTATAAGTGTGCTGCCACGCACAACATGCTTCAAATGCTTCAAGGCCAGGGGTTCGAGTAGCAGCTGCATCCAGGACCCCACCATGCAACTGGTGTCCTTGGCGCACGCAGGCACGATGGCAGTGTCCACCATTTGGATCATTGTCTCTGCCTGGCACAGCGCAGACCGGTGACGTTCAAATCAAATTTGGCCCCACCCTGAACATCCCGGAACAAGCGACACTCTGCATCAGCCAATGCGACTATAGCATGCTATAACATGCTATAATCAGCCAATCCAGCCGATCCAGCCCTGTCATGGTGAGCACATGACAGCAGCACCTCAATCTTCAAAGAGGTGATGTAGTTCTCCAACATCACCTCTTGTCTTGCTTCAGTCTCTTCTTTTGTGTAGATACCCAGCTTTTCGAACAGTGCCTGCCGAACTCTGCACTTTGATCACTTTGCTCATTGCCTGCAAACCCCTGCCGTTTTCACATACAGGCCTTGTTCTTGTCCGAATTCCATGTTGACAATGCTTTGGGCGTTGTGTTCCTCATGTGTGTGCTGAAAAAATGCATCCACGTTTTCAACCTTTATCAACCTTCCAAGTACATCCAACTAGGATGAAGATTTGAAGAGCTAAACACATTTGAACACTGCCGCCCTTTGAGTACATCAGCAGAGGGTTGACTGGAAAGAAGCCAAGCCAAGACTCAGATTTGGAAGACCTCGCTTTGCTGCTTCTTGTTTCCATTCCCCTGAATTGCCGTTGCCAGTGAAGACCACATGTTTGTTCTCCTTCCCATGGTGTTAAGGGGCGAATTCTTCCTAAAGCCTCAACGCTCGCAAGAAAAATGTCCAAGAATATCAAGAATAGCAGTGACATCTAAAATATATACAGTAAATGCAACATATCATAATAATAGGTGGGAGGGCCGGCAGGTTTTTGACATTTTTTGACCACACGAAAAACTGAAAGACCTGCCTGTTAATGCTCGAGAGGCCCAAGCAACATCTAGAAATAGCACAAAATGCCAGCAAGATCCAATAAGATCCAATCATTTCTCTGCATAGCTAGGCTAATTATGCACCTAGACGTCCTTGCTTCTGTCTACATCTGATAAAGGTGTAAAAACATGTAAAAGCAGGGTACAAGTTCTTCACATGTTGCAGTCTGCAGCCTTTTTTTGGATGCGCTCAAAGGATCATCCCGGATCGTCCTTGAACATCTTGGCCACCGCATCCCGGTGGCTGAGGCCACCTTCAATGAGATCTGCCAGGTGGGCCATGCCCGATGCCATGATGGCATTACACACCATAACGGGCAGGTTGCCTGAGCTTGGGACCCGGGATGCCAATGGTAAGATGATGTAAGATGATGTAAGATGTAAGATCTTGTAGGATGTTGGACATTGAACATAAAAGAATCAAAGATATAAAAACCATTGAACACCTACAGCCTGTACCTACAGCTTATATCTCTCCAGCGCAATCTGGAGGCTCACAATGGGAGAGAATGGCGAAACCAGGCCACGGCTCACCCAAAATCTAAGCCACGCTCAGCTCATCTCAGCTCCCGGCAATTCTGAGATGAGCCAACCGCTCTGAACTCGAAGCGATTCCCGCAGAAAGGGAAGGGAGCAGTGCGATTTCGATCCTCCACCTCAAAGTGCGAGGCTGCACTAGAATCACTAGAACATCTAGAACATGCATGAGATGTCATGGTTTGACAAAAGAATACAAAAGGCATGATTCAGACTGCCGAGCTCTGAATGCTTAGAGTCAAGCTTAGAGCACCTGATTAAGGACGAATGCCCCCACATCAATCTGGATAATCTGGCACGTATTTTGAAGTTGCATGCTAGTAGTTACTAGGGCTATGGCACCCCAACTGCCTGTCAGGCGGCATTTGCCTCGATGGGGTCGGCTTGTGAGCATCCGGTAGCCTGCTTCTTCTTCTCTGCCTTGTAGCCCAGAAGATCTCCTGAGGCACTGCAAAGCAATCCCACCCCGCTAACCTTCAGATATTCTAAATTACCATGGGCCGCCAAAATGACTTGGACTGTATTTTGCAACAGCCAGCATGAACACGAAACTACGGGAGTTTGCATCGTCTCAAAACCGTCCTCCAGCAATGACGCTGTCCACGTACTTCTCAAAGCCTGCAGAAAAAAGATACGGTTGCAATCTTCGCCTGCTGCTGTCCCACAACAGTCATATACATTCATCCCATACTTTGAAGTTTCATGAACGTGGCAGTGAGAAGTGCCATGGTTGCTCCCAACCCCCATCGGCAAGTGCGGCTGGTATTCAGTCAATGCGATGTTGAAGCAAATCTGAGGAATCACTCGCGGACTCGCAGACTATGAAGTACTATGAGTCAAGATATTTGGGTCATGCCTTCAGTTTCAGTAGCACTTGAGACTGCATGGTGTGGCAAACCATTCCTAGAAGCAGCCCGAAATAGAAAGCGCACCCAGCACGCCTTGTCCAGGGTACAGAGAAATGATGGCTGGTGGCGCCTCTTGTGCACCCAGGCGATGGTCATTGCCTGCCGTGGCCACGGAGCAGCGCACCAACTCGTTGTGTTGACTCAGGCCTCGGATGTGTTGAATTGAACTGTTGATAACTGTTGAACCGCACAAGTCATCTCTTCGCTTCACCCTATGAAATTGATCAATTCACTCAATTCGCACTGTGCACCAGGTCTCTTCCAAGAACATCTCGAGGATTCTGTCTTTCGAAGGGGTTTATGAGGAGCGGATACTTTTGACTCCAAATAGCAGCTATACAATAGCTAGACATCAGTCCCGGTTACAAAAACAATTCTGGAGGTTTGGCCTGACTGCGGTCCAAATCAGAGAGTTGAAAATGGGATTAGTTCGCTTTGTTTAGTCTAGTTTCCATATGCCAAGCAGGCAATGCCCGTCACGAAGAGCTTGGCACCCTCCTTTCCACATGGGGCACAGAGACAAGTTTTCGCATGCGTAAAGATTTGTGTTCTGTGATTGCTGATTCCTGATTCATGTGAGAAGGTTGGGTGCAGGTCAAGACGTCTGAAAATGATGTACATAAGATCATATCCGCCGACACCGGCCGACGCAAGGGGGAGTGCGTAAGGAGAAAAAACATTCGGAACATTCGGATATCTGGAATCTACTTCGTCCTTCCGTGCCATGTTTCCAACTCCACCAAACAGCAGCAGCAGCAGCAGCAATTCTATCTATTCTATTCTATCTATTTTACTATTCGATTCTATTTTCTATCTATATATCTACTTTTTTTGGGTTCCTTTGCTACGTTTTGGGAACGAAATTAGGTAGTGTTTTGCTGTTGCGGATGCGTCACAAAGCCACGTAGCTTGTGCTTGGCAAGCTCGCTGGCCGGAAGATGTGGCAAACATGCGTGAAAAACTAAAATGTCTCAGTTTTAGAAAGGTTTCAGAAGGGGCGTTAGGCAGTTTTTTGGATTCTTTTGCTACGTTCTGGGTACGAAATTAGGTTGTGTTTTGCTGTGGCGGATGCGTCACAAAGCCACGTAGCTTGTGCTTGGCAGGCTCGCTGGCCGCAAGATGTGGCAAACATGCGTAAAAAACTGAAAAGTCTCAGTTTTAGAAGGGTTTTAGAAGGGTTTTAGAAGGGGCGTTAGGCAGTTTTTTCGGGTTTCTTTGCTACGTTTTAGGAACGAAATTAGGTTGTGCTTTGCTGTTGCGGATGCGTCACAAAGCCATGCAGCTTGTGCTTGGTAGGAAATTAGGTGGTGTTTTGCTGTTGCGGATGCGTCACAAAGCCATGTTGCTTGTGCTTGGCAGGTTCTTGGGCTGCAAGATGTGGCAAACATGCGTAAAAAACTGAAAAGTCTCAATTTTTGTAAAATTTCAGTAGAGGCGTTAGGCACTTTTTTATACTTTTTTGGTGTTCCTTTGCTACGTTTTTGGGCACGAAATTAGGTTGTGTTTTGCTCTTGCGGATGCGTCACAAAGCCATGTAGCTGTGCTTGGCAGGGTTGCTAGCTGCAAGATGTGGCAAACATGCGTAAAAAACTGAAAAGTCTCAGTTTTAGTTTCAGAAGGGACGTTAGGCACTTTTGCTACGTTTTTGAGCGCGAAATTAGGTGGTGTTTTGCTGTTGCGGATGTGTCACAAGGGCATGTAGCTTGTGCTTGGCAGGCTCGTTGGCTGCAAGATGTAACAAAAAATGCGTAAAAAACTGAAAAGTCTCAGTTTTAGTATTGTTTCAGAATGGATGTTAGGCACTTTTTAAAGGTTCCTTTGCTACGTTTTTGGCACGAAATTAGGTGGTGTTTTGCTGTTGCAGATGCGTCACAAAACCATGTAGCTTGTGCTTGGCAGCAAGATCTGGCAAACATGGGTCAAAAGCTGAAAAGCCTCAGTTTCAGTAGGATTTCACAAGGGGGCGTTGGGCCAACATAGCCCCTAAGATGGCCCCAAGCTGGTCTAAGAGGGGCCAACCACCACCACCACCACCACCACCACCACCATAACAACAACAACAACAACAACAACAACGACAACGACAACGACAACGACAACCACAACCACAACGACAACAACAACCATCCTTTACCCTCAGTTCTTTCTTCTTTACCAGTAGTACCGCACAAGGCGGTGGCGGAAGCTTCAAAAATAGGAAACCTATAGGAGAGATTGGTTGTTGTGAATCAGGGATGGCAGAGCGAAGCCACTGATGGACTGAAAGGTGGTTGAAGTCTCCTCTCTTTCTCTCTCTTTCTCTGACTATCTACCTACCTACCTACCTATCTATCTATGTATTTATCTATCGATCTATCTCTCTCTCTCTCTTTCATCTAATTACCGATCTACCGATCTACCGATCTACCGATCTACCGATCTACCGATCTACCTATCTACCTATCTACCTATCTACCTATCTACCTATCTACCTATCTACCTATCTATCTACCTATCTACCTATCTACCTATCTACCTATCTACCTATCTATCTATCTATCTATCTATCTATCTATCTATCTATCTATCTATCTCCTTCATCTGTCTATCTGTCTAGCCGTCTACCTGTCTATCTGTCTATCTATCTATCTATCTATCTACCTGTCTACCTGTCTATCTGTGGTGCAGTGTCATTCAGTGTAATGTAGTGTAGTGTAATGTAGTGTGGTGTAGTGGAGTGTAGCGGAATGTAGTGTAGTGTAGTGTAATGTAGTGTAGTGTAATTTAGTGTAGTGTAATTTAGTGTAATGGAGTGTAGTGGAGTGTAGTTGTGTAGTTGTACTTGTAGTTGTAGTTGTAGTGTAGTGGAGTGTAGTGTAGTCTAATGTACTGAAGTGTAGTGGAAGGTAGCGTAGTGTAGTGTAATGTAGTGTAGTGTAGTGGAATGTAGTGTAGTGTAATGTAGTGAAGTGTAGTGTAATTTAGTGTAGTGGAGTGTAGTGTAGCGTAGTGGGGTCTAGTGTAATGTAGTGTAGTGTAGTGTAATTTCGTGTACTGGAATGTAGTGGAGCGTAGTGGAGTGTAGTTGTGTAATTGTAGTTGTAATTGTAGTGTAGTGGAGTGTAGTGTAGTGTAATGTAGTGAAGTGTAGTTGAAGGTAGTGTAGTGTAGTGTAATGTAGTGTAGTGTAGTGGGGTGTAGTGTAAAGTATAGTGTAGTGTAATTTAGTGTAGTGGAGTGTAGTGGAGTGTAGTGGAGTGTAGTTGTGTAGTTGTAGTGTAGTGGAGTGTAGTGTAATGTATTGTATTGAAGTCTAGTGGAAGGTAGTGTGGTGTAGTGTAGTGTAATGTAGTGTAATGTAGTGTACTGTAGTGTAGTGGAGTGTAGGATGTAATGTAGTGTAGTGTAGTGTAATTTAGTGTAGTGGAGTGTAGTGGAGTGTAGTTGTGTAGTTGTAGTTGTAGTTGTAGTGTAGCGAAGTGTAGTGTAATGTAGTGGAGTGTAGTGTAGTGTAATGTAGTGTAGTCTAGTGAAGCGAGGCGAAGCGACATCTGAACCTCCAAAAGTGGTCCGAACCCCTTGTGTTTTTAACATTTTGACTTCAAAATGTGCTTCGCGCCACAACGATGTGCACTTTTTCGAGATCTGAACTTCCAAAAGTGGTCCGAACCCCTAGTGTTTTTAACATTTTGACTTCCAAATGTGCTTCGCGCCACAACGGCGTGCACTTTTTCAACATCGCAACTTCCAAAAGCGGTCCGACACTGAGGTGTTTTGTACATTTTGACTTCGAAATGTGCTTCGCGCCACAACGGCGTGTACTTTTTCGACATCTCAACTGCCAAAAGTGGTCCGACCATGGTGTGCTTTGTACATTTTCACTCGGAAATGTGCTTCGCGCCACAACGGCGTGCACTTTTTCAACATCGCAACTTCCAAAAGTGGTCCGACGCTGAGGTGCTTTGTACATTTTGACTTCGAAATGTGCTTCGCGCCACAACGGCGTGCAATTTTTCATCACTCATCTGGCCAGCTGGCTCCGCACCCGCCGCTTTAGCGAGCCTACTTTTTACGTTCAACGGCGGCTACTATGTTAGTACTATCATTATTACGTTATATATGGGGTGGGTTCCGATCTTAGCATTGCATCAAACTGCCGTTGCCCCAACATGCTTATGAAATCAAACCGGGGCTAGGTTTCTTTTACGTTGGTGGTAACTTAAGCAATGTTGTTATTAGGCTAAATGGCATTTTTTTTGGCATTATTACTATGCTCATTGGCGGTTATACTATTTTAAATCAAGGACCCGAATTCCAGGACCCGCAGTTTCCGCAGCGCCTCCTTTCTCGCAGCGGCCGCATGCGGCCGCTTTCGCCTTGGCGGCTGCCTTGGCAGCCTTGGCTGCCGCCTTCGTTGCTTTCTTCGCGGCGGCCTCGGCGCGCCGGGGCTGCGTGGCATTACCTCGCCATTACCCATGGTTACCTTGACCAGTTAGGGAGGCAGGCAAAGTGGCCCGTGGGACACTATGTTGCCGGAATATCAGCCGCCACTGGGGGCATATTAGCGATGACTACGAGGGGCTGATATATTGTAGCTTGCATTATAGGACATAGTATATCAATAAGAAGCGGGTTTGTAAAACATTACATAGGAATTGCTCCTGGGAGCAGCTCTGAGACACACAGCCCCACACGGCGCCAAACATCTTTACACAAACGACGATAGATAACAGCATCTTTTCACCCGACCCCCGTCTGACCTCATGCCTTAATCAGCAATGGCATGCTACAAAAAGGAAACGCCCAAACTCAATCAATGTTTCAGCTTGTGGGAAAATGATATCGCCAGCTAGCATGCCCTATGCCATGAGATCGGCAGGCCAAATTTTCGACAGTCCGACAGTCGTGATTTACTATTGCGATCATCCCCGAGTAACTGGTACAAATAAGAAATTTGATGCAACAAAAAATAAATGACTTAATGTCAAAGGATGAAATATGTTTAACCAAACCCTCAGTCAGGGCCGATACTCCCGCTGCCTGCTCCGCCTTGGCGGCTGCTTGTGCTTCCTTTGCCTGGGCATTGGCTACTAGAAGCATGGGGATTGCAACTACTGATTAAGCATGTCTGCAGGGATATTAATTTTTGACATTGGCAATGTCGCGCCCAATTCTACATACATGTGTTAATAGACTAGTGCTGGAATCGTCAATATGATCAATTGTGTTCGAACCGTCAAAAACTAGGGCGTGTATTGCCCCCCGTTTACACTTCCGCTATACTTCGTGGCCCTTCGGTGCCTCCTCCTTTCTCGCACGGTCTTCCTCGTAGAGCCGCTGCACACGCTCTGCGCGCTCTTGTTTGGCTGGCCAGGGATAGGCGTAAGTGCTCGGTGAATCCACAATGAAACGATTGCCCTTTTACCGGGGATTTTTCCACGCGGTCGAAAAACGGTCTACCCTAACTTTACTTTTTTTTGCCGTTATATATTGGTTATATGTTTCCAATTCCCTCGACATCCCAAAGGAGCAGAGTGTTGCAAAACGGGCGCATCACAGGGCGCGTTACAGGGTCAAGGCATCAGGGGTTCGGGGTATGAACTTTCGGAGTTTACGCAAAATTTCGTAGGTCCTTGCCAAAACTTTGACAGATAATCTAAACCTATATGCCAACCCTAAACCAACCCATTCTGCCGCCTTCCTCGTCGTAATCACTAATGCTCACGTCGTCCAAGCTGTCGTCAGACATTTTTGCAAACACGGAGTCGGGCTTGAGGTCTCTTCAAAGGCTGCGGCCATTTTGCCGATGAAAATGACTGGCGGATCCGGTGGAGGTTGGGAAGACATGTGCAAAACATGGGAAACACTTCAGGTTTGGAAGTCTCTGGAGGGCCCGGTATTTTTTAATAAACATTGGTAAGCAAGAACTGTTTGCTGGGGATCACTGTGCGCCAACGCTTTTCCAGTATCATGGCTTTATTCGCACCAGAAATAATATTGATATATCATCTATTAATTAAGGAATTAATGGATTAAGTAGGGTAGCCGGGCTATGCTATGAAGTTGATTTATCCAATCCCATCCCCATGCCTTATCTTTTTTGATGGAAACTAGGTTGAACCCCGAAAGTTTTAAAAAATCTGCGGTTCAAACCATCTCCTCATTCTTGGATGGCCTTTGCAAATACCACGTTTTTAGATTAATAATAGGGATTAATAGGGAACATTGCTCCCTTATTGTGCTGTTACCAGCTCTTGGCCGGAAGATCGTTGTCTTCCTTTGCCTGGGCACTCTTGACGCGTACAAGAGGGAGCTTCTAGGGTTGCTCTTCCCGCTTTCCTTCTGAACCTGAAGCGCTGCTTTCAGCCCCTGTGTCAAAGTAAAAGATACCATTGCCAGCAGAGCAAGCACTGTAACTAATTTGTGAATAATTAGTACTGGTTCTACAGATCAAGAAGCACAGAGGGGCACAGGAGCACAGAGGAGCAGAGAGTAAAGAGAATAGCGGAGAAAATGGAAACAAGAACTGCAGAATACATCAGGAGATCAGAAAAAAGCACGCGTAGAAGATCAGAAAGAAGAAAGGCATAAAAAAGAGAGCATAAGAGTTTCAAAACGATCGTGTCTCAGAATATAACCGGCTGAACGAGAGCACAGAGCAGCCAGAAAGATCAGAGAAGGTATGGAAATTGGACGAGGGAAGAGAAGAAGCAAAGAAGTGAGAGGCATGGAAGAGAAGGAAAAGCAAAAGCGGACTAAAAAGAGCAAGAAGGAGAGAGAGAGAGAGAAGAAGAACACTAAGAAGAGTAAGAAGGAGCAAAGACTTTTCTTCCTCGAGTGCGGCCGATTGTGCTCAAAGGCTCGGTCCTGAAAGTGAGATAAGATTTGAAAGAGACAGGAGATTCCCAAATCTCACGAAATACGGAGTAAGAAGGAGCAAAGAGAGAAGCAGAGCAAGAAAGAGCAAGAGAAGGAGACCAGCAAGATCATAAGAGCAAGAAGGAGTAAGGAGAGAAGAAGAACGGTGAGAGCAGCAAAAAGAAGAAGAGCGAAGGAGGAAGGAGAGAAGAACAGTAAGAAGAGCAAGAAGAGAAGAACAGCAAGGAGAAAGCAAGGAAGAGAACAAGGAGAGAGCAGAGAGAGCAAGAATAGAGTAAGGACAGCCAAGAGAGCAAGAAGGAGCAAGCAGAGGACAGCAAAGGAGAGAGCAAGGAAGAGAAGAAGGAGAGATCAGAGACAGCAAGAACAGAGTAAGAAGAGAGCAAGAGAATAAGAAGAGAGAAAAAAGAAGAGAGCAAGGAGAGAGTAAGAGAGCAAGAGAGAGAAAGGACAGCGCAAGAAGCAAGCAGAAGAGCAAAAAGGAGAGCAAGGAGAAAGGCAAAGAAGAGTGCAAGCAGAAGAGCAAGCAAGAGAGCAAGGAGGAGAGCACGAAGGAGAGCAAGGAGGGGAACTAGAAGGATGAAAGGAGGAAGACAAGGAGAAGAGCAAGAACGAGAGCAAGAAGGAAGGCAAGGAGGAAGGTTAGAGGAGAGCAAGGAGGAGAGCAAGAAGGAGAAGAGGAAAAAGACGGAGAGCAAGAAGGAGAGCAAGAAGGAGAGCAAAATGGAGAGCAAGGAGAGTAAGGAGGAAGGTAACCGGAGAGCAAGGAGGAGAGCAAGAAGGAGAAGAGGAAAAAGACGGAGAGCAAGAAGGAGAGCAAGAAGGAGAGCAAGAAGGAGAGCAAGGAGTAGGGTAAGAGGAGAGCAAGGAGCAGAGCAAGGAGGAGAGCAAGAAGGAGAAGAAAAAGACGGAGGGCAAGAAGGAGAGCAAGAAGGAGAGCAAGGAGAAGGTTAGAGGAGAGCAAGGAGGAGAGCAAGGAGGAGAGCAAGAAGGAGAAGAGGAAAAAGACGGAGAGCAAGAAGGAGAGCAAGAAGGAGAGCAAGGAGGAGGGTAAGAGGAGAGCAAGGAGAAGAGCAAGGAGGAGAGCAAGGAGGAGAGCAAGAAGGAGAAGAGGAAAAAGACGGAGAGCAAGAAGGAGAGCAAGAAGGAGAGCAAGGAGAGCAATAAGGAGAGGAAGGAGGATGGTAAGAGGAGAGCAAGGAGAAGAGCAAGGAGGAGAGCAAGGAGGAGAGCAAGAAGGAGAAGAGGAAAAAGACGGAGAGCAAGAAGGAGAGCAAGAAGGAGAGCAAGGAGAGCAAGAAGGAGAGCAAGGAGGAAGGTAAGAGGAGAGCAAGGAGAAGAGCAAGGAGGAGAGCAAGAAGGAGAAGAGGAAAAAGACGGAGAACAAGAGCAAGGAGGAAGGTAAGAGGAGAGCAAGGAGAAGAGCAAGGAGGAGAGCAAGAAGGAGAAGAAGAAAAAGACGGAGAGCAAGAAGGAGAGCAAGAAGGAGAGCAAGGAGGAGAGCAAGAAGGAGAAGAGGAAAAAGACGGAGAGCAAGATTGAGAGCAAGAAGGAGAGCAAGGAGGAGGGTAAGAGGAGAGCAAGGAGAAGAGCAAGGAGGAGAGCAAGGAGGAGAGCAAGAAGGAGAAGAGTAAAAAGACGGAGAGCAAGAAGGAGAGCAAGAAGGAGAGCAAGGAGAAGGTTAGAGGAGAGCAAGGAGGAGAGCAAGGAGGAAGGTAAGAGGAGAGCAAGGAGGAGAGCAAGGAGGAGAGCAAGGAGGAGAGCAAGGAGGAGAGCAAGAAGGAGAGCAAGGAGGAGAGCAAGAAGGAGAGCCCTCCGGAGCCACAAATCATTGGAAAAACACAGTGTTTCGCGACTTTTCCTACCTTTTCGCGCATCTGCATCTTCTTTCTTCTTACTCTTTCTCTTCTACTCTTCTTTCTTTTAATCTTCCTCTTCTCTCTGCCTCTTCCCTGCTCTGCTTTTCATCTGTCCATATTGTCGGAAGTTTGACTTCTAAACTTCCTTCGATAATCTCTTTCTGATCCTTTTCCCTCACGTGGGCCCCTGGCCGGCTGTCGGGCGTAAGCCCTTAAATATAAGTCAACTTCATCAAGCACTTGACACTTTGATCTTCCCGCATGACCGGGACACACGGGGCAGTCCTCAGTCTTGCCTGGGTAGAAGAAGTTCAAGCCAGTGTCCGTGCCCACAGACCAATTGGCATGCTTACCTCGCAAAGATTGCAGACTGTGGCAAGAATGGCATGGTTTTTCTCATACAGTACATGGGTTTGATTGGGTTTGTCATAAGAGGTATCGGCGATATCGGTGTCTAACTACCCAACGAATCGATGGTTTATCATCATTTTCCGGATTTTACACTTGTATATACGATGGTGCGCAGACGTTTACCCCATTTTCAGACACAGCATGACACAGCCACATCTACAATGGAGACGGAGCTGCCACTGCCGTTGATTCCAGCGAATGGCTTCTCGTGGAACAGAACCTGCAAGCCCATCTTTGCAGCCTCGCGGTTCATGACCTCGGCCAGACACAAGGAACAGGAACAGCCTGCACAGATGCGACATGACTTGTTTCCTCTGTTGCGACATGTTCCGCGACGTTCTTTTCCCATCTCCATGTGAGCCTACTGAAGCAACAGCACTTGCAAAGGAACAAATCCCAGATGGTGTTCTTAGTGTTGTTTTATGTGCTGCTAGCCTTGAATCATGTTAATTATTCATGTTGCCCCTACGAGCGGCCTCCATAAAAAGGACGTTCGTGTCACAGGAGACGTTCGCCACACGAAAGACTGGGGACATCTCATGTTGCCCTGGTGCCACCTGAGAACAATGAGAACAGTGAAAATCTATGACCCGAACCGATCTTGATCTTGTGAACTACTTGCTATGACAGTCATTCTGACAACGTGGCTCTTAAGCTGCTAACTTCTCCAAGCCATGAGTTTTTCTATTTTTTTCTCATATCAATCATACTGCTTTGGGCTCTGCAACAATTCCATTCCCTGCCCCCGGTTGCCCCGATGCCTCATTGTGCTTCACTGCCATCGGGCAACCAAGCCTCAACATCACCGCCTGAACTCGATCCAGAAGAAGCCTAGCAGCAAAGATCAACAGGATTCAACAGGCATCCGGAAAAAAAAGGAACAAGAAACCACGAGTCACAAGGTGTTTAGACTTTCATGTTTTGAAGGGTCCACTGCTCTCTCTCTCTCTCTCACATAGTTAGAGGTTGAAGATGGTTGAAGTTAGAGGTCGTACTGTAGCTGCAGCCTCAAGAAAGTGGAGAGCCAGTGGCTCCTCTAAGAATCTCCAAGTGGCTGGACATTTCCAGGAACCGGAGCAAAGTAGTTGAGATCTCCTATGCAGCGACAAAAGGCAGCGTGTCATCCACGTTGAGGGAGCCTCAGTGCCTTCCAGCACCCTTTAGTTGGCGAAGAAACGGGTAAACACTGGGAGAAAAACTACTGCAAAAGAAAATTAGGCTCACCCCAACTCTCCACACCCGAAAAGCAATTAAAGACACTGGAAAAAATTAAGGATCTGTACTTTGGCATCAATTGCAGAATCTCAAAAATCTTCTTTGCACAGTATCTGCAGCATTCTGGAGCTTAGATACGAGATTTGTATGGTATTTAAATGACTTTACATGTATTTTCAGCATGTTTACGTCGAATTTTTGGTTCGGAGTGTGCTCGCGGCAGCTTTTGCTCTTTTAGGGTTGTTTTAGGATTTATTGTTGGGTATTGCTGTTTTAGGGTTTGTTTAGGGGTAATTTTGGAGTTATTTGGGGACGTGTTAGTGCTGAGCTCAGGTTGGTTTGATGCTTTATTGGTGTCGTTGTATGGCCTATTTGTTCTATTTATAAAGTGTTGGTTTAGGGTTTTGTTGCTTTAGTGCTTTTGGATCTTTTTGGTGCATTTCTAGGTGTGTTTTAATGTTTATTCTTAGTCTGTATTTCTATGGTTTATTTAGGGTTGGTTTGTGTTCTACAGTACAAGGTTAGTTTGAAGTTGCTGGGATGATCTGGGATGGACAGGATCCGCAGGACCGGGCTGGAGAGGGAGGGGGATGGCCAAGAGACCAAAGGACCAAAGGACCCACTGAGGGACCAGGGGGGATCTGATTTTTTTTCCGGTCCAGGATCGTAGTTGTTTTTCAACTGAGATTTTGTCCAATGTCATCCCAGAAGAACCCAGAAGAACCCCACTAACAAATACGTTGCCAAACCCAACAAGGCCCAGCTGGATAAATTGCGCAGGTCGGTTTCCCGTGCAGCCCTCCTTGCTGATGTCTGGTTGGCAACTTACCGAACAAGGTTCGGCCTGTGTTGACCAAATCAGGCCGTGCCTCACACGGGCCGCCCAGAAAAATGAGAAAGTTTGAACCGGCCGCCCACTGCTGGATAATTTCAAAAAGATATCGAACAACCCAGTTCTAAAGTTTCCACTTGATGTAATTAACAGTATAAGTGTATAAGTATAAGTCAATATAATCTGTACAGGTAGGGAGACGAGATGGGAAAAAGGTGTGCGGGTGCTTGTCTGATGCAAACCGGAACAAAGCCGCTGCCATGAGCAGTAGGGCAATGCACCTTGTAGTGTTCGGCCTTGATCACAAAGAATTCTTGTTCCCAGCCCAGGTAGCCTCAGCTTGATATGTTTGATGACACCCCCGCGCAATCCCTATCATCCCATCATATCCCATCTGCCAGCTGCGGAAAGGTGCAACCTTCACCACCTTGCAATATAGTCTGAAGATGTCTGAAGCATGGCCTGTCACTATTGATATTCAGTCAGTGCCAAGGTACTGTAGATGGTCTGCACATCTTTGCCCAAGCCCGAAGCCTTCAGCAACCTTAGGCCTTCCTTCTTTACTGCATCCATGGATCGAAGTAGCGGTGTCTTCTCATCGATGCCTGTGAGCTTCGACACAGTGTATATCGGCGTATCCTAGGCCTTCTAGGCTTTGGCGCTAGACAGGTGGTTTGTGGTTTACAGCTGAGGAGGGGCTATATCAAGGCCTATACGTGAAAGCATTCCGTCACGATTTTGCAACCTGCATAGCAATGAGATCATGACCCTCGATCAACACGGCTAGGCTAGAACAGGTGAGACAAGGAGTTTGCAGTTTGCGCCTACAACTGTCCCAAAATGTCCCAAATCTCAGCCCAAATGCATTTGCCAAAGTGGGTGATGAAGGCACAAGGGATGTAGAGTGTCTTGTTGAGAACCTCAGGGCGCTGCTGATTCTTGTGGATTTGACTCACACCGGCTCCCGAAAGTCTAGATTTAGTAGCCAAGAGCCCACCTGTCCAAATCAATCCCAACCTCCCACATCAAGTCCGAAACAACTTAAGAGGCCATCGCCAAATTTGATGAAAATCTGCCATTGCCAAGCAACAAAGGGTGGCGAGGACCGATCCCAAGTGGTAAAGGCTGCTGCAGAGTGCGTGACTCGCAGCCCACCGTTGGGGAAGGAGGAGCCATCGGTCTCACCCTGAAATAGACGGTCCGAAGGGAGCGTGGCCTCAACATGACACTGGCTGTTTTGAGTAGTTGCCAAAAAAAGAAGAGTGGTCGCCGAAAGTGCACTCTTTATGATAGGCTCATGTCATCTCATGTGTTTGTTGGGTTCCGTGCTGTCAAAAAGTCTATAATGAATAAGTAGCAATTGCCATGTCAACGACTCATTCCTGTACTATGGAATCGTTGTGGCGTAGCATATGGCATGCCATCTGATGGACTGCTGTCGCAATACTTTCATTCCCCTTAATTAGCGACTTTCTTGTGCAGTGTCTTGTCACTGTGCTTAAACTTACCTTCCTTTCAAAACTTCCACTGAAGTGTCTGATCTTCTGGTGCGGAATTGCACTGCGTGCCGAGTGCTGTCCTCTTGCTGTAGGTATTTCAGGAGTTTGACTTCCATGAGCATTTCAGCTTCCTTTGCTACTAACTGCTATGCCAAACGTGCCTTGATTCCACAAGTCTTCATGAAAAAAGAGCTGTCATCAGTGCACCAATGGTTTCCCCCCAAATGTCTGGAGAGTCTATCTGGCTGGCTGCTGGCCTTCATAGGCTTTGTGGTGAACTTGGAAGCGAACTCCAAGTCAATCAAGGTGTCTTGCTTGTAGGCACCCAGCATACCACCCACAGCACCTACACAGCATTGAGGTCGACTCGAACCGGACCCCCCACAACATGCCAATTGAATTGCGGCGACAACAACGTACATTCAAATCTCATGCCCCAACATTGGTTTGCTGAATTTTTAACCCCTACAAGTACAGTACACCAAGCAAATGTTTGGGACCGGGCTGTAGGGTCTTCAGCATGTCAATCAAAAGCCATATGCCATATAATATAATGCCATATGGGCCATATAAGACAATAATTCTGCTACTGTACATCACTACATCTACACTTCCTATGTCTGGTGGTTTTTTCCCCTTTCCTAACGCCTCCGCCACCGCGCATCGGGAAAAACCAGTGAGAGAAGTCAATAGCTCCACGCTCGCGTGCCCACGCGAACATCATGTCGGCAATCACTGTCATGTCCTCAAGACGGCAAGTGCAGGCCTAGTGGCCCAGTGATCCCAGTGCAAGTGCTGAACCATGCTGAACCAAAGCCATGAAAATGTTGAAAATCCGTCTGCGGGCCCTCACAAACCTCTCCAGGGCGATTTCCCTGGCGCTGCCTCAACATCCACCTCCACCGGGTATCACCAGCCGCATCCAGGGAATCCAGCCGTCCTCCTCCGTGGTGGGAGCTCCCGTAATGAGACACTCCTTGAAGCGTTGGACCACAGAGCTGGGGAGCCTCTCTGCCATGACCTGGACAGAGCTGGAAACGGCACATACCAAGATATATCAAGTACATCCTCTCTCTCGATATGTATATATATATATCACAAGTCAAATCTGCGCACCACTGTGTATCTCGTGCGGTTCCCAAAGTTTGGGAGCTGAGCCTTGTCATCAAACAGATCCTCACAGACAAGGCAGCGGGGCGATGCTTCGCACATAGATCTTTCCGAAAGAACACAGGCCAGTTCAAAAACTTGGATTTCAGAATTTCAAGTGGGGAGAAATGGGTGCCCTGGCTTTGGTCATTGATTCCTCATCCCAAAGCAGGTTCAGAGAACTTGAGAGGGAGCAAGCATAGCTTCGGCCGTCCTCGCTCAAGACGTTGAGAGGATCAAAGGGCGGCTCGAAGACCGGAGCAAAGTGGCTCTGAAGATCAAAAACCAGCTGCGTGTCCTCCCAGAAGCAAAGACCCCGCAGCATCCCGCAGCATGGAAGGGTAAGATCATAGTATGACGGTCACGTGACGCTATATTAATTATACATGATGTGTGTGTGGCACCTTCTCGCCAAAACTTGAATGCATCACACAGTTTCTGATTGATCTCAACTTACTGTAGTTCAAGATAGTTCAAGTAAGTTCTGCTCCACGAAGCCTTTGCTGGAAAGGTCCAGGTGATGCCCTCATTGGCATCCGCCAAAATGTTTCTCACTCTCAGAGGTCTCATGTCGGCTCACCCTTTTGTAGGATTAAACGAGTTATTGCCCGTCTGTTCTGGTCGTCATTTCCACTCAAATGTGCCCTCTAAGATTCTAATGAGCTTGCTGGGCTTTTTAATATACACACACTTTCACACACTTGAGATGGAGTCGTGTCAGTGCCCTGTATTGCGAATGGTTAGGTAATGCCATTACTTGCCAAAGTATATTACATCCCGTGGCTGTCAATGGTACACCCCCGCCTCGAGGCCCTAGTTTTTTGGCTAACATCTACTTCCGATCATTTATATAATCAGAAACGTGATTTGTCATGATTTGTCTCAAGGGTGAATACAGTAATCCTGTCCATCATGAGGGTGGGATTTATACATGCAATTGGTTGCAAGTTTGCCCTGGCCTTATCTGATGCAGCACAGGACGTACAGTTCACCGCCCCCATGGCTCCCAAGGTTCCACGCACCGCACTTTCTCTGCTGATCTTAAAACTGCAGTTTCGAGAACATGGTTATCCACGCTAGGCCGCTAGGCCACTTGGCCGCTAGGCCGCTACCAACAATCCCAAGACATCCCAAGACCATATGGTGACCATGTGCTTCTGAACACAGAGATTTGAACAGACTTTCTTCGTTCTTTCCTTACATTGCCTTACATCCTTCAATCATTCCAGGCCAAATCTCAAGAGAAGCCTCTGTGGAGCGACTCCGTCGCCGAAGCCTTTGCATAGACGCAACGTGGCATACTTAGCAGACTTAGCAGAAATATGCCCACAAACAAGTAAAGACTTTGTTCGACATTGTCGCTTAAATATATAAATACCTCCTTAATCTCCTTAAATAACCATGGCTTCCAAATGCTCAGTCAAAGTTAAAGCTTGGCCACGGTGGAAATTTCGAGTGGATTGGAAGGTACCTTACAGCTTTAGTCTGAAACATTGCAGCAAGCTCTTTGAGACCAGCGTGACCAGTCCTAAGCTGTCAACTCTGCAAGCAAATCCAACTGCTCTTGCAAATTGCGACCAACGTCCTCCCCCGTGGCATGCCAGAAAGGGTCAAGCAGAACATTGCCATATCTATCAGCATGAAGTACTTTGAGCTAGTCCTAAGGCATGGCTGCAAATGCATGCGCTGATTGTCATACTCTGCTTCACACCGCACTCCTCGGCCCTTCGTTGAGCTTTTGCCATGTCCTCCACGTGCTCCTGGAGTCCAAGTTCATTGGGTGTTTCACTTCTGGACCATATGAAGTGGAGAATATCCACCCTACGAGTACTGCCTTATCCTCTTAGGATTATTTTGGATCTCACATATGTGTGCATGGCCCCTCCGCAAGACACTGCAAGAGATTATACCTTTACTGCAAGAATAAGAAATGCAGCACCCCCCTGCACGCTGGAACTCATTCTCGTCCCTCTCCAGTCCCCCACCTTGAGCTATGAATCTGTGCCATGGTTCCAACAAGTGCTCCAACCACTAAACCACCCTGCCATTCAAACAATGGCTCCTTGATCTTCTGCGCCTGTCTTTCCTTCTCCTGTGTTTTTTGGAGGCATCCACACAATCCGCATCACTTCTGTTCTAGTGTTGCAGTTGAAAGTGGGGAAGTTCCACTCTGAGGATCTAGAACTGCCGCGGGTCCTTGAGCCATGAGTCCAGCTCGACCTTGTTCTTGGCCTCAGTACTCTCAAATGCAGGGGCTTCAGCCAAATTAGCTAATTTGTTGATACTTATTGTAGCGAAACTTACCTTCAAACTTTTTGCGTGAGAGATGAACATGGCTGTGGGCACTTCACCTCCAACATTCAGCAGCACCAGATAGCACCAGGCCACCCAACTGCAATGGAAGGCCAGGGTGCCAAATCGCCGCCAGGCATCAGCTCGCCTGCTGGCCAATGGTCATCCCACTTTTTGCAATACGTGATTTTACATGACTATACGATAGGCTTGCAAACCCCCATCAATTCATGTCATGATTATTTTTTTTGCATGACCCTCCCAATCATCACAAGTTGTTCAAGTAAAGACCTGCAACTCTTGAAGCATCACCTTTCACAACAGCACCGTTGAAGCATGTTGAAGCTGAGTGCTGCCCGGGGAACTGCCCGGGGAACTGCGGGGGCCATGGTGACTTCCTCCAGCCACTGACAACCTGCGCCCATGGTGGCCCCACGGGTGGCGGGTGGCCCTGGCGGAAGCCGGGGAGACCCCGGGAGATCTGGGGATCCTGCAAGCTTTCCCGGGCAAAGGCGACGCCACGCCTGCCATGGGAGATCAGGTCCCGTGGATGGCCCATGATGGTCCATGATGGTCCATGATGGTCCATGGTCCGGTTGGAGAATTGTGGATTTAGAACTGTGGATTTAGATGATTTTAGCAATGGCAATGATAGTTATCTAATGATGGATGATGGTTTCCGTGTGGATTTCCAACTCTAAAACATGGACATGGATTTCCCCTGGCTGCCAAACACGGCTGAAAGGCTCGCTGTCACCTCGATCCTGCGAAAGCTTCATCTCAGCCTTGCTTCCGGCCCACAAGATTGCTCAGAGAGCGAGCAAACGTGCATCATTTTGATTTTCGAAATGTCAGCCACTTGCAGCCACTTGCTCAGGCAGCCACTTGGCAGCCCCTTGGCAGCCATTTGCTGCAACTGTCTGCGAGCGGCTGCAAGTGGCTGCCAAGTGGCTGCCAAGTGGCTACCAAGTGGCTGCCTGAGCAAGTGGCTGCAAGTGGCTGCAACTGATTGCAGCCATCTGCAACGACTCGTAGCCACTTGCCGTCACGTGCCATCTTGAAAAAAAAAAGTGAGTTTGTAGATTTTACTTGTTTTTTTCAAAATTGTCTGTCGTAGATTGCTAGCAGCCATGCACCAGCAGCTACCCGCACCGATTGAAACATAAGTATAAAAGCTGTTTCGGAGAAAAAAACAAAGGGCCAGATTGTTTGTATTTAAGGGCCAGCGCCCACTTGCAGCCAGCGAACTTACGACTACCTGGTTACCTGTTTCGTAATTTTTGTGGGTTGTTTAATGATGGTTTACCTTAGTAGGTGAGTAACAAGCGTGGTTTGTAGGTCGCCGTTTCGCGGGTCATAACATCTTTGAGTGCGTTATAACTTGTAACTTTGGTTATTGAGCATTTAATCATTGATGTAAAGGGTATATTTTAACTGGTGGAGGTTCGAATTCCATCCGTCATACCTATATCAAATTTTATAAACCAGGCCCTGCGGCGTTTTGAAGTCGACCATCAATAGATTGGTTGAAGGAAAAAAACATCTTAACCAGAATTTTAGTTTTGTTTTTACTGTTCTGATTCTTGTTTTTGTCCGGCAAGGACGAGAACTTGCAGTGTATCAACCAACATGTTTGAAGGTTGGGGACAAGACCTGACAGCGTAGCACCCAAGATGATTGAAAGTTAAGGACAGGTCTTACAGCGTGTCATCCAAGATGATCGAAAGTTAAGGACAAGATCTTACACCGTACAATCCAAGATGATTGAAAGTTAAGGACAAGGCCTTTCAGCATAGCATCAAACATGTTTGAAAGTTAAGCACAAAATCTTACACCGTGACATCCAAGATGCTGGAAAGTTGAGGAGAGGATCGTACAGAGTAGCATCAAACATGTTTGGAACTTAAGGACAAGACCTGACACCGTAGCATCAAAGGTGTTTGAAGATTAAGGGCAAAGTCTTACAGCGTGGCATCCAAGATTCAAGATGTTTGTAATTCAAGGACAAGGTCTTAGGGCATAGGAATCCAAGATGTTCAAAGTTAAAGACAAGCTCTTCGAGCGTAGCGTCCAAAATGATTGAATGTCACCAGCACGATCTTACACCGTAGCACTCAAGATCATTGAATGTTAAGGATACAGTCTTGCTCCATAGCAACCAAAATCATACAAGATGCTTGAAAGTTCAGAACAAGATCTTCCTGGGTAGCATCCACATCTTCCAAGAATTTGCTATTATTTTTCTTGATCTCCTTTTCGTTCTTGTTCTTGTTATTACTGGTGTTATTGTTGTTATTGCCCTTGGTTTTTGTTATTTCGTGTTTTGTTCTTGTTATTCTGGTTGTGGTTGTGGTTGTGGTTGTTGTTGTTGTTGTTGAAATCGTTCTTGTTGTTATTGTTGTTGCTGCTGCTGTTGTTGTTGTTGATGATGTGTTGGTTATTGTTCTTGATCTTGTGGTGTGGTTGTGGTTTTTGCTCTTGTTCTGGTTCTTGTTCTTGTTCGTTAAGGACAAGAACTTACAGCGTATCATCCAACATGTTTGAGGGCTAGGCACAAACACAATCTTAGAGCGTAGCATCCGACATGTTTGAAGGTTCAGGACAAGATCTTACTTCGTAGCAACAAAGATTTGCAAGTTGAGGACAGAATCTTACACGGTAGCATCCCAGATGATTGCAAGATCAGGCTGCGATCTGACAGCGAAGCATCAAGGATGATCGAAAGTTAAGGACAAGATCTGACTTTGTAGCGCCCAAGATGTTTGAAAGCACAAGATCTTACGCCGAAGCACCAATGATGTTTGTAATTTAAGAACAAGATCTTACATGCTTGCATCCAAGATGTTTGAAGGTTAAGGACAAGAGCTTGAAGCGTGCAATCCAACACTCCCTTACAGCAAACATGTTGAGGACAAGTATTACAGGGTAGCATTCAAGAGGATTGAAAGTTCAGGGCACGATCTTACACCGTAGCATCAAAGGTCAATTAAGGGTGTCTTACAGCGAAGCATCCAAGATGTTTGTAATTCAAGGACAAAGTCTTCGAGCATATCATCCAAGATGTTCAAAGTTAAGGACAAGCGCTTCGAGCGTAGCGTCCAAAATGATTGAATGTCACGAGCACGATCTTACACCGTAGCACTCAAGGACATTGAATGTTAAGGATACAGTCTTGCTCCATAGCAACCAAAATCGTACAAGATGCTTGAAAGTTCAGGACAAGATCTTCTTGGGAGCATCCACATCTTCCAAGAATTTGCTATTATTTTTCTTGATCTCCTTTTCGTTCTTGTTCTTGTTATTACTGTTGTTATTGCTGTTATTGCCCTTGCTTTTTGTTATCTCGTTCTTGTTCTTGTTATTCTGGTTGTGGTTGTGGTTGTTGTTGTTGTTGTCGTTGTCGTTGTCGTTGTCGTTGTCGTTGTCGTTGTCGTTGTGGTTGTTGTTGTTGTTGTTGATGTTGTTGTTACTGTTGCTGTTACTGTTACTGTTACTGTTGTTGATGTTGTGGTTATTGCTTTTGATCTTGTTCTTGTGGTTGTGATGTTTGCCCTTGTTCTGGTTCTTGGGCCACTTGCCAAAGCAGCCACTTGCAGCCACGTGCAGCCACTTGCAGCCACTTGCAGCCACTTGCACCCACCCACTTGCAGCCACTTGCTCACTTGCTCTTGCAGCCACTTGGCAGCCACTTGCAGCCACTTGCCAAAGTAGCCACTTGGCTGCCAAGTGGCTGCCAAGTGGCAGCCTGAGAAAGTGGCTGCCAAGTGGCTGCAAGTGGCTGACATTTCGAAAATCAAATTGCGCACCTCCTGCGCCCACAATGCGATTGCTTTTCAACATGTTTCAACAACATATCAATGCCATCAACTTTGAATTTCACAGAGCTTCCGCCGGCTGAGATTGTCAGGACGCAAAGGCAAACCCTAATAGGCCCTAATAACTAATATATATATATATAACATTATATAACTCTTAGAGCCGCTGACCTTTTTGGAGCGAGGTTCCAAGTGTTCCAAGAGCTTAAAGTGCCTGCCTGCAAAGATGTGATGGACCGCCTCAGCTGGTCTACCTGGCGAAGGGATGAGGCCAGGCTCATCAACTAAAAGACGCGATCAACTAAGAGACACAACTCAGCTTGCAAATTTGGGCCTCAGCAGTCTGCAAGAAATCGAGTCAAAAAATCACTCAAGTTCGCTCACTTGGAACGGAAAAGTGGCAAGAAAACTGGCCAAACTTGATTGGGCAATACTCTGCTGACCTCTCTGGGTTCAAGATGTTCAAGTTCGGTGGCAGCAAATTCATCGGTTCAACTCTCCCCACTGCCCATCATGCTCTTGGTCGATCTCTAACCCTCCCCTTCTGATCTTACACTCCATCGTAGCAAGGACTGACTTGAGGGATGGGTCACACAGGACACCTCGATGAACACTGAGGGGCAACCGAATCAACACCAAACCACCAGCCTTGTCAGATGCAGGGACTGCATCGCTCGACCGCAGCTCTGGGGAGAAACCTCAGCATCTTTCGGGACGATGACCCGCGGATGAACAGATATGAACAGCATGGACCAGCTGCCAATCAACTGACCTCCCCCTTCGAAAAAATCGTCAAAGATTTGCTTGTGGCCTGAGTGCCCGGCGCCAGCTTCCAAAGGCGCCGCTCGAAGCAGCGCTGGCGAAATGGTCGTCCACTGGAAGGTTTGCCTTAAACCAGCAAACTCTCCTCCAAAAGTCATCCACAGCATTCCGCTCGTGTCCATGGCCGAAGCCTGTGCCATCAGAAGGATGGCATATTTCTTTCACCCTATTTCATCAAACACGCCAGCAAGGACACTCAAGTGGCAACTGGATGCAAATGGAAATGCTGGGATCCAACCATGATGTGAATTTGCGGCAAGGCAATACCCATATGCCGCTAGTCGCTGGTTTTTATTTTCTTGCACCCACTCAGCTAAGTCCCGCAGCCACCGTCGCCAAGAGATCTTCATGCACGGCAACGCTGAGACAAACCTTCACACAAGCAGACAGAGTCTACCACTATTGTTGGGTGCTGGCTAGCCGCAGCTAGCCGCAGCTAGCCGCAGCTAGCCTGCACAGGGAACCAGGCCAAAGGGTACACTCCACATCACTGGACGACACTGTTTGCTGCATGCCCCACCTGGGGAGAACCATCACGGGGCAACTGCATAGGATCAAAGTGTAGATTCAGAGGGTCACCTGGAGGGTATACCTGGCAGGCTCCCAAGTCCCCATGGCTTTGGCATCTGGAGGAGGAAAAAAAAAATCCGGAAACATCCAGAAACATGGCAAGTTGACCGCCACCCATCTCTGCTGAAGACCACCACGATCCAACACTGCAGACATCGGAATGTTCCTCACATACCTGGAAAAACGATGAAAGACGTCTACTGCATCTGCAGCCCTGGTGGCTACCATCAGGTTACACATCTAAATCATCTAAGTGTGCCAATCTCTGCAAGAAAGTCGGACGAGGAGGGGTCTGTGTGTCTCTGTCACTCCGACCGACATGTAAAAGAAATGTAAAAAACAAATTATCCCGGCAAGACACCCCAAACAGTGTGGGGGGAGTAAACAGATCATGTATTATAATGTTGATGATGATGCCAATGTTGCTGATGATGTTGATGATGATGATGATGAGAGGAAGATGATGATGTGGATGTTTAGGACGAGGAGGAGGAGGAAGATGATGATGTTGAGGAGGATGATGTTGAGGAGGAAGACCGATCCCAAGACCGGGAAGCACACTTTGTGTGATCCTGCGCGGTCGAAACGTACACGGACATTTCACAAGAGCCCTTTTGTGTGGAAATATACAGGAAAAGTGCCGTACGCCAAGCCCGCGACACCCGTTTTGTGCGAGCCTGCGCAGTCGAAATGCACATGGACATGTCAGAAGAGGCATTTGTGCGGAAACTTACGAGGAAAATGCCGGACGCTTCTCCCGCGGCCAGCGTTTTGTGCGAGCCTGCGCAGTCAAAATACACATGGACATGTCACAAGAGGCATTTTGTGCAGAAATTTACAGGGAAAATGCCAAACGCCCCAGATACCACCTCGATTGAACACCGGGCCTTAACACCTACCGTAAGAACCCCTCACTGTGGACACACTGTTTGGGGAATAATATGGAATAATATGTATGTGTCCGCTGTTTCGAAGATGTTCCTAGTTCCAACATGCAGAATCACGGCAAGGCCCGGGATAGGGCACATGGTAGTCTCCGTCTGGCTATTCTTGATGCTGAGGATCAAAGGGATTTCAGCCTCGGAGTTTCCCAGGATGCTGCCTATGGCTATGGCAGTTCAATCAAGTGCTGTGGCAGTGCCGTGGCATGGCTGCGGGTGCGGGATTCGTATGCCATGCTGGGGCCGCCGAACCGAGCCAGATCGAAACTCTGCATTGTACATGGACAAGCCATTTCCTTCCAGGAAGCACATTTTGTGCGCATATGTGGCCGATGCAGTTTACTTGCGTGATCCCAGGCTAACGAGGAAAAAAACTGTTCAGTTGGTGCAGTAAAGCAATAGGCTCCAGACAGAGAGTTGAAGCAGCAAAACAGGCAAGGCAAATCTTATGCATATATAATTATATAATACATATGTATGTATGTATGTAATGTAATGTAATGTAATGTAATGTAATGTAATGTATGTATGTATATATATATATATATTCAGGCCCTTTTGTACAGTAGGACATCTGAATCCGTCCTTTGCGGACAGTCTGCCCAATCCTCAGCAAGAGCGGAAACGGGTCTCGCTGTCATTAGGATGATGGAAATGAGGAGGGGGAAGAAATGGAAACAATTCAAGCCTTCAGCCTTTGTTATCCAAAAATATGTTTAAAAAAACAGCGGGACATGACATCAAGTCCTGAAGGAATCCGAGCAACACATCTGGAGCTCATGATTAATCACTGCAAGTGTTTCACGGCTTGAATACTATGACTGACATTAAATACGGTTCCTGATAGAACTTGGAGAGGTGATCAACTGCTCACTGTCCTCTGGGAGCTCTTTTTCTCAGAAGTTGCATCAAGCAATGGAAGAAGGATAAGGCATAAACCGCTGGCAGTAAGCACACGCCATGCACCAACAATGACCAGTAACACAGAGAAATTTGTAAAGCCATCAGCCCCCAACTGCATGTCTACGCCACACCAATGGAGCAGTTGCCATTCCAAATTCCTACCTACAACCATACCGAGAGTTCCTCCAGCTTGCATCAGAGTGAAAGCGCTTCCCTCACATCCAGCTGGGGCATGTAGCTGCTGAAGTACCGTCACTGGCAAGAAAGTCAAAGCTTTGCCGAATTCGTTTGCTGCATTTTCCAACAGGGCAGCTGGGAGCACCAGCATCTCGGGTGGCCGAAGGATCAAGATCTTTGCTACCAAGGGCACTGGCCACAGCTTCAAGCAGAGCCGCAGGGTATCAGTCGCGCGGCGCTCAGCTGAGATCTGCTTCCGATAGATCAATGTGCACAGAAACCAACCCACCGTCCCGGCGATCGAGATGATGGGTTGCTGGAAGCCCTGGAGACCCAAAACGTGCTTGCGATAAAGAAAGACCTTGGCTCACTTGACTTCTAAGGCGGTTTCAAGCAAAGCAATTTCCGGAGAGGTGGGGGAGCTCCTCTTTGAAAGATCTTGGAAGAACAAAGGGCAAAACAAACTGCATTCAACCAATGAAAGGCACATCGGCAGGTGGTGCCAAGCACACAGCAAACCCTAGTATTGACACCAATGCAGCATCCCCCTGTAACACAAGGGTAGACAGCGACAACGCTGGCTTCTTTGCTTTCTCGGTCACAATATGCGCGTTCAAAGCGAACGGTGCTATCACCTTCCACTGCTAAAAAAACAACAACATGAGCCAACATGAGCCTTGCAATCATCAGGTGCAAAGGGTTCCGAAGGCTTGTTATCATTTGTTATCCATTAATTCAGGAGGCTCAGGAATCTGTGTTCCAAAGTGCCCACTCAACCCTTTCTTGAAATCCATAGAAGCGAAGTGTCAAGGATTGTCTGGAAACAACAGCTCAGCACCCACGCGTTTGATGTCTTGTGCAAAAGCTACCCGCATCCACCCATCAAAAGAATTTAGAAAATTGGACCAACAGCTGCTACAGCGAGAAGGCCAAATCACAGCCCAAGCCAATGCCGTGCAGGTGAGCGCCAGCCAATCTGGCAATGTAAATACCCATGCAGCAATGCCAACGAGCAAAGCTCCTCAACAGCCAAGGGCCGCACATGGCCACACGGCCTTCGACCTTTGCATCGCTGACAATAACGTCCAGTCGTTAGCTACAATGCTACAAGATCCGATTCAGTTGTGACAATCCGTCATGCAGGTGACATTTTGGATTGGTCATGATGTGTAGTTTAAACAGCATGCTGCAGCATGCTTAAACAATTTTCACCCCGTTGCTGGAAAAGTTGGCGTCTGGCATGAAAACGTTCCGCATCGGCCGCCTGTCCTATGCTGTGACCTGTTTGGCAAAGCGACTGCAGTTCAACCGCCGATGCTTCTGTCGACTCTGCAGAGATCAGGCCATCGGTCAAGCCGTCCACCACTGCTGAGCCCAACGAAACCAGGGCAGTGGCGAACAGGAGGACAGTGCCATCCTTGCCATCCCAGGACCTCAACCGGAAGCCGTGGCGGAGGGTACAGCAGGATCGTTCCTTCTTGTATCCCAAAGAAACTGAAAGATCTGAAAGCTTGGAAAAAAGGGGCGTGCGCACACTGTTCAAAGATGTTCAAAGGCTCAGTGACAGTAAAAGCCAAGTCAGGCCCGTGATTATTGCAGCCATAGCTAGCAGTTGCTGCCGTGCCTTTGCGGAGCAGCTGCGTTCAATGAGTAGTACCAGTAGAGGTTTCAAAGCCCACGGCAGGCTCCCAAACTCTGGGAGCAAGTTACCTTGCCAGGTTGATGTGGGACTTGTAGCGTTGGAACTCAGTGATATGACCCCTTGTCACTGAAAGGAAATAGATGGAAATAGAATCTTCAAATGTCCGATGCTTGGAGGAACCGACGGGCTGTCAAACTAAACAGTTGAAAACTCACACAAAGCCAAATTGCTGAAGATCTGCATTTCACTCATGTTTGAAAGCACTGATGCAGCTGACGTCTTCAAGTATTCTTTGCCAACTCGCCCAAGACCCTGAGCCAAATAGGTCAGGAAGTACTGCTTGTGCCCTGGGCTCATGGCCCAAACCCAAGACCAGCTCTGTTTTCCCGTCTGCTTCATCGCACGTGGATCCAGCGGAGCATGATTCGTGTGGATTCATGGCGTTAGAGTGGTCCAATAAAATGAGACAGCTCAGAAACTGTTAGGGCATGCGCGCAAGTAGAATCAGTAAAAATGTAAAATAAACATAAATAAACTGGTTCCTGTGCGAAACCATCCTGCTGGATTCATAGCGCTTGAGTTACAAAAAAGGAAGCGGTTGCAAAAAGTTTGCCTGGCTAGGCTAGGCCAAAAAAAGAAACTCTGTTTGAGCCTTTCCAAACTGCTCAACGGCTTGGACGCTGAAAGATTGAATTCTTGCTGTCAACATCTGTCAACAAAGAACGGGCCTGGCCTTTTCACAATGCCAGGAGCACTCAAACATACTCAAACCCTATAAATGAACAACCCCGGACATCCCCGAACATCTCCGAACCAAGCAAGACCTAAGCTTTTGGTTGACAATGTTCCCGTTTGACATGGATGTAACGGAGCTTTGAACTCGAGGCCCAGGGGTAAGTGACGAAAGCTAGCAGCTTGGCATGAAAACACCCAGTATACTCGCAAACTCTGTATCAAAGGATATTATGTCAAAGACAAGGCTTTCAATGTCTTGGACATAGAACGGGGCACATTTAAGGGGGATCAATGTCACGTACGAAGAGAACAACATTAGATATCAGAGAATGATGAGGAAACTCCCACTCAGTAATCACTCAGTAGCGTGATGGTCACTAAACAGAACCGAAGATTCCAGGGTCCACCTTCAGCATCGGAGTGGGTATTTCAAGGCTTAGAAGTTGCAAGAGAAGAAAATGTTGGAAGCGTGGCTCGGTAGGATGGCCTGAGGACAAAAAGCGGAAGCATGCCAGTGCAAATACAATTGCTCCGGAAGGATCTCTGCAAACTCATCTGTATGAAGGAATATTATGTCCAAAACAAGCTTGCCATTGTGAGAAATTAATGGAAAGTACATATAAAATCATATTAAGGCTCAAAATGAAAATGAAGCTGCGTTTCAGGGCTAGCCATGAACATGCCAATAGTGAGCAAGGCTGCACCAGTGACTTGAAGCATGCGCTGTTGACGACGCCAATGATGCTGAAGATGCGGATGCTGCCGGTTCTGCTGCCGGTGGAGACATGCCAACTGTGTCCCCGCGGGGGATCGAGCCACGGCCAAACTGCTTGTGAACCAGCCAGGGGGAGGAGGAAGGGGTAGTTAACAGTTAACTATGAAGTTTCATGCGGTTGGAGATTCCAGCCCCCCAATACCTTGCTAAAGCAAGAGGGACTTCAGCTAGCAGAAGCTAGCTTTCGTGATTTGTGACGGACAACTCATCGTCTGTGATTGTTGCAATGTTCCCAGTTGTTCCTAGAGTACCATGCATTCCCACGCATTGACAGTGCCATACAGTGCCGGATTACCGCCATCCCCGCCAACTCCAGGCCCCAGGGCTGAAGGATTGCATACAAATGCCGCACGATGATCTCTGACCTGTACTGGCAAAGGTGTTCTGATAACAAGAGGGAAATGGTGCCAATGCGCAAAGTCTCCGAGACAAATTGAAAACTTCAAAAGGAGGTTAAACACGGCCTTGTTTCAGACTTGCAGCAATTTGAAGAAGTGGATCACTCTTTGGAAAGCTAAGCCTCTGACTGGGATAGGCTCTTCCAATCATGGATGCTGACGGTCACGTCCTGGTTCAAGGATCCGTCTGCTCACAATGGCAACGCGCCCATTCTTTGCAACAACACCACTTTTCAATCCTTGGAAGGAAATGAAATGCATTTGTCCATTAACTTTACAGGATTTCATAGGACGCCGATGCATCCGAGGGCAGAATAATCAAGGATCTTTATATCTGTGCAAACTGTCACAAATCCCATCTGCATCTGCATTAACCTGGAACAATCTGAATAAATATTATATATATGATTATAATTTTATATATAATTATAATTATATATAATTATATAATTATATATATGTATAATTATAATTATATGTGTATATATATACATATAATTATATATGTATATGTGTATATATATTTATATAATTATATATGTATATGTAAACTCTACACATCAAACGCATGTCTGATTTCAACAATGCCGCTCATCAGCGCTCCATCACTGCTCTTCTCAGCCTAAGTGACATAATTAAAACATCTTAAAACCATATGCAAGTTCATACGCAGCCAAACCTTGAGAGACCGTGAGACCGTCGATGATTTGGTTCAAATATGTTCAAATGGATCAGAACGGACAGGTACCGAGACTAGAAAAAGTCACCTGGGTTTGTGGCATCATTCCTACTGTTCGGCCAGGCACCAGCAACTGGAAAAGAGCTTGACTGCTGGATCTCGCTTCAACTGCCCACAGGACTGGACAAGTGACTGACCCTGAGGATGAGGATCAAAATACATCAAGATCCATCAAGGAGTGATTCAACTCAGCGAATGTCGCTTGTCGTACCGCCTGGTCTTAGGACCCGTACACGCGCAGTGGGCTTTAGGAAGCATCAGGTAGCTGCGCATGGACACGGGCAACTAGCCATGGGCCATGCCGTGGAGCTTTGGCGATTCGACACCCAAATTCTGTGTTGGCAAAGATTCTACTGCTTTGCACTGCTATGCCAAGTTGTTTGCCGCTTCTGCTTCTGCATCTTGAATTCACAGACTCCGACGTAGTGGTTTTGTTGGCGCAAAACAACCTGCTGTGATGGCCACACTCTCACTAGGACTATTGTTGTCGTAGCTTGCCAACTATGAGAAAATGTTCTACGAAGCTTTCCGAAAACACAGTCGGGGCAAGCAGCTCATGAATGCATTCATCAATGCAAGTCACAGCAAGTGACTGCCTTAGAATGATTTAGAATTCAGGGCTCTTGCATGTGGTCACATCTATGGAAGAACCTTACAATCCAACTCATACAGTGCGCTACAGGGAAAAAAAAACTAAGCACACGCAGCACACTTACATGAAGCCCAACATGACACCGACACACTCTGTTTTCCCAGTTCCTCCCGGCATTTTCAACGGCACACACATGTCGCCACTGTGTACCACCCTTTGAAGCCTGGCCAAGGAAATCTGGCAACACAAATGACAACGTTCAACACAATGTTATTCCATGTTGTTTCAATGGAATGAGACAAAACAACTGCAAAAGAAGGTGCTAACGTATGCTAACGTAAACGCAACCACAATCGATGTGCTGGATGTGGAATTGAAGAAGGAGACCAAAATATCCAAAATGGGAAACTACATGAAATCACGGATTTTCCGCTTGCAGTACTCACCTTCTTGGTCATCTGGGTGATTCAGCTGTCTGTCCTCAGCTCGGAATCTACGAAACCAAAGGCTACTGTCAAGAAATGACTCGTGGACCCTTTTTAGCAAAGTCATACAAAATCAAGGCTACCCGGCTACCCGTCCCGCAAAAATCATGAAGGCACTAAAATCACTAAATGGAATTGAATGGAATTGAATGGTACTAGCACGGAGAAGGCAAGGCAAAGCTGCAACCATCCCGGACCATCCCATCTGTCATCCCTCCTGATGACCATGCCCATGCCCATCTTTCGCCAAGCGTCTGGCCTGTCGCCAGCGCCACTTGGGCGCACCAAGTAGGTGCAATAGCTCCATTCGACTGGAAGGCCAGCGATTCGGAGCAAAGCCAGGCCCCAAGACGAATTTGACGAATTTGATATGTTTCACTGTTTTCACTGTTTGACTCTCATCCTTTAGGAGGTTCTTCATGTCATCACTGCTACAAGATGCTGCACATGTCGACATGTCATTAAGTCCTAATTTAGTCCTAATTTTCAAAATCAACTCCCTGAGAGCGTCATGATGTGTCGTGAACCGACCGTCAAACACCGCAAAGGTCACAAAATGGATTGCCATGGGTTGCCACTCACCTGACCTGTGAGTGCTGAAAATGAAGTCGAAAATCAGTGAATCTCGATGCATGACGTGGCACTTGCCAAAACAGCCTTCAAGACTTCTCTTGTGCACATGTCTTGCCATCAGCTGTAATGTCAATCTGCCCCCCAACACCCAAAGCTTACAGCTTCATCGCCAATAGGTCCGAAAACATCACTTCAAGCCAATGCCAAGGGAATAAAATGATCATACTATTATCACAACATATCACGACCGTATCACAGCATGACATCCCGCACGCGCCAAGGCACGGGGCATCTAGTTGACGACTGAGCTCACAGCGCCGCAGCAGTTCTTCTGCTTGCAGCTCCTGCGCCGAAGGGCTGGATGTCACTATCATCTAAGACCTAAGACGCAGTTGCTGGAGGCCTAGGAGAAATGAAGGTGAAGCTAGGAAATTCCCAGCTTGTTGGCAGCAGAACAGGAGACCAGAAGAAAAGAAGACATGCAGAGGCCCCGCAAAAAAACAGTGCGTGACCGAGTGACCTGGAAAATACATGAAAGTACCTGGAAAGAGCGAATGGACAGTTGACAGGTGGGACACGCGAAGGTGAAGACGAGACTACCCCAAGTAGCCGTAGACGCCAGGATGACACTGGGCCCAAACAACCCAAACAACACACTGAAAAGCCAGAGGATTTTGCAGGTGACTATGGGTGACCAGGACTACATGGGTCCTTTTGCCGCAGCTCCATGAAGAGTCGTTGATGCCGACCCCGCGCGCGCCAGACTCGGGCCTCCAAAAGGGCCTTGGGTCATGAGGTCCCAAGGCCGGCCCACAGCTTCAGCTGCCTGTCACCTGAGATCCATGCCTTGTCACTGGGCAACCAAGCTTTTTCTAACTCGGCCAGCACCTGGCAACATCCAAGCTCTTGAATCTCTGAACAAGAGCTTCCTTGTCGTCCTTAGCATCTGGAACCGATGTATCTGAAACAAGACCTTTTGAGTGGCAAAAGTGGTGAATGATGAAGAATTGTCTGCACGGGAAAAACACAGCGAAGAAGTGCAGAATCCCCCTTGCAGCGAAGCGGGGGACAAGCAAGTAGAGGATCTCAAACTCAATCTATAAACAACACGATGCATCCTTCACTTATTGCATATATGTATATATATATATATCTCAGATCTTTGTCCTCCTGCACCTGAGCAGCACCCAAAAAACGGGGGAAAAAAAAAGACGTCGACCCAGCAGCCAGTCTCCACCTGTGACGGCGGCGCCCGTCCGTCGCGCAAAGAACGCGAGGCATCGGCCCTCGGTTCAATTGTGTTCCGAGGTAGTTGAGTGATGTTGGATGGTGAGAAAGTGTGAGAAATGCCGACCAAAAATTCTCCGGATTGCGCGTGTGCGTTCCCAAGCCCTCTGCGCCAAGCATCAGAAGTGGCAGAGTTGACTCTTTTTGTGAGCGAGCAAGAGCCAGCTCACGAACTACCAGGTAACCTTGGGCCAAGGGTGCTGAGTAGTAATGGACTCCAAACTACTCTCTTGGGGTCTTGGACCCTTTTGAACCCTCATTGAACATCACAAACAGCACCCACCCCCACACCCAAGCCAAGGTGCGCTCAAAGAAACGTCGCCGATCCTCAGCATTCTATGTCTAGCGCAGTGTGTGAGGTACAGTTTGTCTAACATGTTTAACTGGCTCGCCTGAGATGTTTAACGATTGGTTTAAGTGGCAAACTACCTGCAAACCAAACCTTGCGTCCAAGGATCTTCAAGGCTCTCGTCCAATTTTTCGGTCAAATAGCTGAAGATCGCTGGCCCGGGCCTTGGACGCCACCCCCTTGGAGGTTTTCATTGGTGGCGGATGGAGGCGGAGAACCTAAGGAACACGGCCATACTCTGATAATTTAATTTCGCAGGGGCAGCTTGGAACCATGGCTGCCACTAATGGTTGAATGGATAGTTTCTTTCCCAGTATCAGGTAGCCTGACTTCTCCGTCGCACCAATTCGATCGCCAAAAAACTGTCCCAAATAAAGGTCATGCTGAGTGGATTTTTGCAATCTACTAAGATTAAAGGAGAATGAATGTTATCTAGTAAGTTTCACGGCTTTTGGGCGCATACGCATGCTTTCATTTCTACTGTGTTCATCAACCTTAGAGCGAAAAGTGTAATTGTGTACAGTATGAACATGCATGTGTATGTGTGTATGTGTGTATATGTGTAAGTGTGTATGTGTGTATGTGTGTGTATGTGTGTGTATGTGTGTGTATGTGTGTGTATGTGTGTGTATGTGTGTGTATGTGTGTGTATGTGTGTATGTATGTATGTATGTATGTATGTGTGTGTGTATGTATGTATGTATGTATGTGTATGTATGTGTATGTATGTGTATGTATGCGTATGTATGCGTATGTATGCGTATGTATGCGTATGTATGTGTATGTCTGTGTATGTCTGTGTATGTATGTATGTGTGTATGTGTATGTGTATGTGTATGTGTATGGTTATGTATCTGTATATGTCTATGTCTATGTCTATGTATATGTATATGTATATGTATGTATATGTATGTATGTGTATGTATGTGTATGTGTATGTATGTGTATGTATGTGTATGTATGTGTATGTATGTGTATGTATGTGTATGTATGTGTATGTATGTGTATGTATGATGTATGTATGATGTATGTGTATGTATGTGTATGTATGTGTATGTATGTGTATGTATGATGTATGTGTATGTATGTGTATGTATATGTATGTGTATGTATGTGTATGTATGTGTATGTATGTGTATGTATGTGTATGTATGTGTATGTATGTGTATGTATGTGTATGTATGCGTATGTATGCGTATGTATGCGTATGTATGCGTATGTATGCGTATGTATGTGTATGCATGTGTATGTATGTGTATGTATGTGTATGTATGTGTACGTATGTGTATGTATGTGTATGTATGTGTATGTATGTGTATGTATGTGTATGTATGTGTACGTATGTGTATGTATGTATGTATGTATGTATGTATGTATGTGTGTGTGTATGTATGTATGTATGTATGTATGTATGTGTGTGTGTATGTATGTATGTATGTATGTATGTACGTGTATGTATGTATGTATGTATGTATGTATGTATGATGTATGTGTAAGTATGATGTATGTGTATGTATGTGTATGTATGTGTATGTATGATGTATGTGTATGTATGATGTATGTGTATGTATGTGTATGTATGATGTATGTGTATGTATGTATTATGTGTATGTATTATGTGTATGTATGTGTATGTATGTGTATGTGTGTATGTGTATGTATGTGTATGTATGTGTATGTATGTGTATGTATGTGTCTGTATGCGTATGTATGCGTATGTATGCGTATGTATGCGTATGTATGTGTATGTCTGTGTATGTCTGTGTATGTATGTATGTGTGTATGTGTATGTGTATGTGTATGGTTATGTATCTGTATATGTCTATGTCTATGTATATGTATATGTATATGTATGTATATGTATGTATATGTATGTATGTGTATATGTATTTGTGCATGTACGTATGTATACGTATGTATGTGTATGTGTATATGTATATGTATATGTAAATGTATATGTATATATATGTGTGTGTGTGTGCATATGCAAATGTAAATGTATATGCATATGTGTATGTATGTATGTATGTCTGTCTGTATGTCTGTATGTCTGTATGTCTGTATGTGTTTGTATGTGTGTATGTGCGTATGTATGCATGCGTGCATGTATGCATGTATGCATGTATGCATGTATGCACGCATGCATGCGTGCATGTATGCATGTATGCATGTATGCATGTATGCACGCATGCATGTATGCATGTATGCATGTATGCACGTATGCATGTATGCACGTATGCATGTATGCATGTTTGCATGTATGCATGTATGCATGGATGCACGTATGCACGTATGCGCGTATGCACGCATGCATGTATGCATGTATGCACGTATGCATGTATGCACGTATGCATGCATGCATGTTTGCATGTATGCATGTATGCATGGATGCACGTATGCACGTATGCGCGTATGCACGTATGCATGTATGCATGTATGCAGTGTATGCACGCATGCACGTGTGCATGTATGCACGTATGCACGTATGCGCGCATGCATGCATGCATGTGGGTTTTGATCAAAATTCCTTTATCCGGGAACGGCCATTCTTCGCGAATAAAAATTTTACTTTCGCGAAACTTTCGCGAAATCCATGTTTATGTTTCACGGGGCCCATGTTGGCCAACAACACCTCTTATGAAGATTCGTTCGCCACCTGCCAAATTACGCCAGAGAATCACGGATCACTTCTTGATAGCCTTTTAAACATGCAGCTAGCATCACGGAATCCCTTCTCAGGGCAGATTGTTGCTGACTAGGTTTTTTTGGCAAGGTTTACTGGCCCACCCCCTTCAACATGCACTTTGACTTTCGCTCGCTCTTTCGCATAACTTTCGCGAAAATATCCCTATTCACAGACCCCGGCCATCAGCAGGGGGTGCATTGAAGGAAAAGCGAACACCAGGGGCGGCAGTGGGTGGCAGCCCTTTACATAATGATTATAATAATATCCAACTTTCGCGAAACTTTCGCGAAAAAAAAGTTACTTTCGCGAACTCTAAAAAAAAGTTTCGCGAGGGTTTCCAACATAACACGCATGGCTTTCGCAATTAAAAATCCTTACAAGGACCTTTAGATCGATCACCATGTATGCACACATGCACGTATGCATGTATGCATGTATGCATGGATGCATGGATGTATGTATGTGTACATGCGTATATGTGTATATGTATACTGTGTATATATATATATATACGTGTGTGTGTGTGTACGTATATGTATATGTTTATGATTGTTTATGTATATACATGTATATACATGTATATACATATGTTACGTTCTATATATAGTCATACGTTCTGCACATACATACACAAGTATGACCTTGATCGACCTTGGGAAAAATAGATGTGCATCAAAAAGATTCAAACAGCGTGTTCGTATAATTTTAGATTTGATTATTAAGATCACATTAGATGAATTTTCAGGGCCAACTCCCTGATCAAGCATACAAAATTGTCGTTTGTCCATGTTTGTCCCACAATTGCCACTGAGCCACGGCTGTTTTGCCGTTCCGGTGCTGCCAGAAGGCACAGCTGCAGAGATTCGCTGCAGCAGAGCCGGGTCAGGGGTGTGGGCCTTGATGCAATCTGGTCAAACGAGTCAAACGGTGAGCCAAGCTGAATATTACCTGTTTCGCCAAGGCAATGAAAATCAAGATATATCAAGATAGTCAACAGAATGTATAATGCGTAAAACATCGTAAAACTATGTAAAACTGCTACCACTTGGTGTTTCTCCCAGTGAGACAAACTGCATGATGCCACCACTCACAAAACATGAGCATATTCGATATCGCCTGCCCACTTTCAGGGGCCGCTCGCAGGGTTGCTAGCTGCAATGCTGTCTCCAGCCTGGGTTTCTTGGTGAAGTTGATGCGACAGTTGAATCGGGGCACAGCAAAAAGCCACATTGACATATCTTCACCCATCATCCATAAATCATCAAATCATCCACAATCAGCACATCGAAACTCTCCGTGAAAGTCGCAGCCCAAGGGACTCCAACACCCGCCGTCGAAGCAATTCCAATGACGCCGCATCCACCGGTTTCTCTGGTGCCCTGAGCCCTAACGGCAGCGCCGCAGTGCAGGAAGTGGTGGCGTCCACTGAACGCTCGTCGTTGCACCGGCCAGCAGCCAAACGGAGCTTCAACTCCTGCCAAGAAGATCCAAGATGTAAAACGGCCAATGATGAATCAATGTGGCAAAGTTGCGGATATCTACCAATCTACCCAGCAGCGAGGCAGTGCTGCTTCAAAAAGGGCTAATCCATCTTTGATGCTCTTTGATCTAATTAGATGTTCAATGATTTCAGTTTCCACCGACCAAACTGCCATTCAAATCGCGAATGCCCTTCACCCATCCTCCAATTCAAATAAGGCTTTCTCGGCCTTTTCAGCTGTAGCATGATCCATGGCGAGCAAACGACTGGACTTACCATTCGCCGCTATAGCCCAATAAATAAACCAAAGGCAAATTCAGCGGGCTGCTGTCAGCTACTGTAGCTGCTTGCTTCTACACTGCCGGTGAATCACCTCACCCGTCTTCCTTTGCATGATGAGGCACGCACAATACGACAGCTCAGGACTTTCAAATGGTAATCTTAGAGTCATGTACTGTGGGATCTAGTTCCTACTTAGCGGTTTTTTTTCCAAGTGCAGACTCACAAAAAGTCTGTGCACCGAACCTAAGCCAGTATCAGTGTTCAAAAACAACCAGTTCAAAGAGAAGGCTCAGGAGAACGAATTGGACGAACAGCAGAGCTAACTACGGGCTAGCCTTCCTCGTGACAATGAGCCGCAGGTAGTATAGAAGACGGGTGTGGATAAAAATAGTAGGTAATTTACAGTGCAAATAAAGAATCAGTTCTTGATAGTAATTAAATAGTATTCGCACTGGGCCAAGTTGGTTTGCAGCGTGTATATAAACATGTGTAAACTCAGGTGCCAAGAGAGAGAGAGAGAGAGAGTGTCTGAGGAACGACTTGGATCCATTGCTTGCCTGTTCTACTCTGGCTACATCTGGCTACAATAATACCACCGCAGGCCGCAGACCAAGTGAAGCCCCGAGACCCCAAAGGTCCCAAAGCAGCTTTTCATTTTCTTGTCATGTCACAATGCTGCCAACCTGTCAAATTGCTTGGAGCAGCCCCTCCAGCGCAGAAGAATGCAGGTGCACAAGAGTTTGTCTCTAAGCGAGGTTGGTGGCTCGCACCTTCACAAATTTATTGCGACATACTGCGACTAGAATAATATTATATAAGATGTACATTAATAAGATGTACATTAAGCAGCACCGGCTTGGTCTTGCTGAAATTAAGCAGTCCAACAGTTGCCAACGGCTTTGGATTTCTGCGCCTGGGGAGCTTGGCAGTCTGACAGGAGTTCCTTTGTACATACCATGCAGCTTTGTACACGCATGGCCGCCTAGCCTTCTTTTCAGCCTGGCGAAACCTCTGGCCTAACTTTAAATGAGAAACATGACGCATGGATGGTGAAATATATTATCTGAGTCACTTGGGTCACTTTCAGATCAGGAAACTTGCTGGTATGACCTCAGTGTGCATCATGTCCATGGGCCCGTTGGTCTAGAGTCTGCGCCTGATCAAGTCTGAGAGAAAAGTCAAGTTGTGCTCAAAACATCTCAAAACAACAGTTTAGATCACTTTAGCCACAAGATCGACAAGGAATTCCCGCTGTTTCACCAAATGAGCCATGATGAGCCATGCCATGCCATCCTTCAAGATCCAAGGGGCTGCATGAAGAAGCACTGGTCCAGAGCCGCGGCCCAGCAGTAGGAGGTCGTGCCTCGGTGGAACGGTGCAGGTGCAGCTGCTTGCAGCAAGTGGAGATTTCAGAAGGAGCACATCCATCAAGTCTTTTCCACTGTGATTCTGTTCCAACCTGTTTTTGAAGACAAACCATGCTTTTGAGGCTGCTAATGCTGCTATGCTATTCACCTCTTCTAAATCCAAGAACCCACAATTCTTTTGGAAACCTCCCAGTGCAGCAAAGCTTCTCGCAACTCTCTGACCCTGGGCCAACTGGCGAAAAACATCAACAATAACAAAGGCCAAAGACCAGATTTTTATCCAAATTTCCAGTTTACGTTCAGGATCGTTCAGGTTTCGCTGTCTTTGTGTGTGTGTGTGTCTATACGTGCGAAAGCCCACAGCGCGAACACATAGCGGGATATTATGATTAGCCATGTGTGTGTATGTGTGCTTATACCGTACTTATACCTGTGTACCAAAATAATATGCGTAGTAATCTGCATGCGTGCTTATGTACAGATTCCCGCAGGTGCTTGCTTGGTTCTACTCCGTTAAAGTGCTCGAGTTGAAACACTTGAAAGATGTTGCAAGCATAGATCTTTTTGACGGTGCCATGTTCTGTGATTGTTGGAGTTGTCAGAAACGGTTCTCGCATCCTGTATTGTCCCAGGCCTTCAGATGTGCATCGCGCAGTGCAAATACCCACCTTATATGATCGGCGAACCGGGGACAAAGAAATACACGATCTTTAAACTCTAAACCTCAAACCGTCCTTGCCAACTGAAGCAAAGGAATGCAAAGGTACATGATAGACGCTTTCATTCTGACATATGATATCTGACGAATCCCATCCCGTAGTTGTTTGCCGCCAAGCTGACGCCACGAATGCTGGAAGCGCTTTGCAGCACTGCTGGAGGTGATGTGGTTGGATAGATAGGTCTCCACCGTTTCAAGCTCCTCGCATCTGCACAAACTGCACAGGTAGCAAACCACACCCGTTGTAGCGTGTCATATGTACAAGATTCCAAGACAAGTCAGCACAACATGCATGCACGAAACATTGAGGTCTGCATTGTAAGGTCCTTGTTTGCTTGAGATCCCACACCTGTCGGACAAAGAACATGGTTCAAACATGTCTGCACTGGTCATGAAAGACCACAAGCTGTAACATCAAGACTTCTCCTTTGGCGGTCAAACCACTCCGCTCAGCTACACCTGCATCATGAGCTGCATCATAAGCTGCCTAAGCTCACCATCCCCTTCATGCTCCACCCTTAGAATGCTGCGGTGCCTGTAACGTGCCACTCCTGAGCCACGCCCACAATCGGGCACCGCGCAGGTGCAAGCCATCTACGCCTGCATGGGATTTGCCAGCACTGGGCCAACCGCTAGTACGTCTCAGTATGGAGAGGGCGGATGTTCACAGAAGTTGCACATGTTGTTCCAAAGAGTTTTAAGCTCCCCAAGCATCAGGTCACACAACCCCTGAATCATTGATTGCAACATAGTGCAACCATATTGAAGCAAGAACCCTACCATAGATTCTCTTTTTACGCGGAGATGCAGGCAGGGCGATCACCAGAATCTGCCAGCCATTGCCTGACTAGGTGTGCCCCAAGATGTCCCCTCGGTGTGCCTTCAAGTGATTCGGCCAAGGGCAACCTGCAGCGGGAAGAACCATGACGAGCCCAAGCACTCCACTGGAAAAGGAAGATCCGTTCAAAAAAACGAATAGCTGTTCCAGACACATACCAAATCTATAGTTTCCATCGATTCTGTTGGTGCTAGTCTGAGGTCACTGTATGTCAAATGCAGCACGAAAATCAAAAAAATTGCCTCCGTATGCCTCCGTCAGCCGTTGCCCAGAACCATCCAACCTACACACCCAACCCACACTGTGGACCCAGCGGTGCTGTCAACGCCGGCCTTACCTGTTCAGGTTCTGCTTGAAAGCAACGTGAGAATTGGATAGCTCCAGGAGAATCTGAAATGGGTCTGAGTCTGACTGTGAGGAATGTGAATCCTCTTCAAAATCAAAACCATCTCAGCAAGCACCGGCCTCTGTGGCGTCTTTCAGTATCTGCAGTGCTGTGGAATGAGCACTTCCAGGCAAAGCCTCCACAGGCAAGAAGGCACAGTGCACTCTGCTAGGTCTTTTCCTTGCTGATGGCTTATGGCTTTGTGTTTTTCTGCCATCTTAGCTGCTGGACATCCCTATGCATGTCCATCATTTGTTTCGTTTCTGTCTTGGTCTCCTACATGGAGTTCACATGTGCTCGCACCTTCACCGGCATGTCTCATCCAGACACGCGTTGCGTTCTTTTCCAGTCCATAGCTACAGGATGCTACAGGATGCTACCGTTCTTACCATGGCCAAGGGGTCATGGTTGTACCATATGGGGTTCCAGTGTGTGCAGCCTACTGTCCAGCTCATTCTGATGGTAGCTGCCTTTTTTGTGACTGGCTAACCACTACAGAAGCCTTCCCAACCAGGCCCCTGGCCGCCAAAGGCAGCATCTCTCCATCCCATGCAGCCATGACCATGCATAGCGCCTCGCAAAACCACCCCTGCACAGAATCCAGTGAGGACATGTGAGGACTGTGAGGACTCCATGCATTCTAAAGATAACATGACATAACATGAAAACATCCAAAGATATCCAAAGATATCCAAAGCATCCGAGCCCCAGACATCCGCTACCGAAAGACCTTCGGCCACTAGCAGCACAGACAGTCAAAGCAATCCGTTGCGTGAAAGTATGCGTGTAGAGTGTGGGGTATAGCGTTTCCACCTTTGCATGTTCATGCATGTTCAATTGTGAGAAGTGCAGAGCAAATTCTGGATGTGGTGAAAGACATGTATGTATCTTCCAATCCACTCCGCTTGGCATCGAGTCATCGAGTCTTCTGTACTCTTCTATCTGCTTTAATCTGCTTTACATGCCACTGTGACCCACTGCAACCCTTCATGCTCGTTGGATGCGGTCCGAGAGAGTCTTGGGATGTCTTGGGGCCAAACGCCAGGAGGGAGGAAGCAGTGCCGTAACGTCGCCACAAGACGCCATGCCTGGCAGAAGCTTCGAAATTTTAATAAATTATAATAAATTAACTTGCCAAATGTTCCAAAAATAACTCAGAAGAAAGGACTGGCATGGAATCTTTCTGTCCAACTACCAGAATGGATGAACATGGAATTCGCTTTTGCCATTCATGGCCTGCTGCCAGGAGTTGCCAGTCATCGGTGCCACCTGAGGAACCCGCGGAGGATGTACGAGTGGCCGTGGTCGCTTTGGTTCCACGCATCCTTGTCCCGCCCATCCCGTTTGGTGCTCTTGTGCTAGCTATCCCACATGGTCAGGTGCCACCCGTTGCCCCCATTTTCCCAAAGAGTCGGACACTATATAGATTATATAGTGAACAAGCGCCATAGAACCACAATGAATCACGAAGAATCCAAGCAGGTGGCAAACATGCACACTGAGCACATTGAGCACACTGAGCACACTGAGCATCACTGTTTTGGGGCCGGAACTCCAGGTCCGAATGGTCCGAGATCTGTACACCGGGGCATGCCACAGACTGTTGAATTCGCCACCGGGTTGGCAGAGGCTGCCTTGCCTTCAGCAAGCAGCACTTGAGCTGTACAAGTCTCAAACCTTCTGCCGTGGAGAGTCACT